TGTTTTTATTTTCTTTGGCTTATAATTCCTTACTAAATGTACTATTTCATCTCGATGTACTCCGTCTTTGATATGATTTAAATCAAATTCCTCGTCATTATAATTTGCTTCCGATAGCGAAGAAAGTGACACAGAGGTTACTTTCTTCGAAAATGAAAGAATTTTTATTGACAAATTAGTCGGTATTCTCCACACGGCAATTATAGTACTTGAACAGCGGAACTTTGTAACTAAACAAGAAATTATGTCTGTGTATAGAATTAAAGAGAAAGTATTATCACATAAAAAACGAAGCAACTTAAACAACTTACATTGAAAGAAATGTTTAATAAAGTAAACAAATAAATATTAAGCTTTTTTTTTTTTTTTTTGTAAATTTTGATACCCTTTAGATCATAATTGTTCTTTATTTCATAAATTACAGTTTCATATTTTTAATTTTATAATTTCTGCATGCCATCTTACCAGATTTAAACTGATGATCGAAAATCCGGAATCACCGAAGTCCCGGCGAGTCCGGATTAACGACTTTTGACTGTACTATTCTTTTTAATTTTTTATTATTTGTTTTATGAAAATGATGAATAATAATTATTTTATTATTTAATTATTTAAAAAGAAAATTATTAAAATGTTATTTTATTATTTAAAAAGAAAATTTGATAACAAATTTGAGATTTAATTGAAAGAAAAAATAATAATGTACAAACTTTCCTACTCCCCAGGCACATAATAAAATTCACATGGCATACAAGCCCACCAGCGACCAAGCAGTAAGTCGCTGAATGCTGGTAGTTCGGTCCGAGGTTCGAATCCCGCGAACTTGCTGGCTGCATGAGCGTTTTCGTGGTTTTCCCCATGCGTAACGTGTATACGAGCCAGTTTCCCTTAGAAACTTCTCCACGAAGGCATCCCTCCCCTTAGGCAGATAGCCCTAGTGTGCTTTGCCATACTTAATTAAACCAAACCAAACCACATGGCATACAAAACTGTACTGATGTTGCATACGAAAACTGTAACTAATATTGTCTGAAGCAATATTCTTCAAATAGGGCTTGAAGTTTAATTATGAAGAAAAAGCAACATTCAGAGTAAAGTCTGTAAGCGTCTCTCTCTGACATTTAATAATTTAAGGTATCCGACTATGTTTGACACTCAAATTTCAGAAACTAGTACAAAAAAATCTGTTATAGGTGTTAAATAAAATGAAAGGAACATTATCAAAATTCAATTTTTGAATTTTCCTTAAATTTTGTGTTAAAAATGTATTAAATTCCAAAATTACTAGATATGTTTCCACAAAAATATTTACCAGCATCTTACTTTTATTTTTGTCACTTATATTTATAAAGGTATAAGGAATTAAATTAGCTAAAGTCTAAGTGATAAAGTAAAATGTCAAATATGCCTGTTTTAGTACATGCACTATCTATTTTTTGAGAAATTTTTCTTTTCATTTACAAAATTATCTGAAATTTTTTTGTATATTGATATAATATTTGAAGTTAAAATTTTTGTTCATAACTGAAAGTTGAAGAAATCAAATTTTCAAAAGATTGGCATAACCAAGGTTACCTCGAAAATCTGAAAAACAGCAATAAGTTGGAATTGAAAAATTGACCCAAAAAGTCAAGGAATTTAAATATTTTAGTCAGAATCTAGAAAAATCAGGGAATTTCATATGACGATCCCCCAAAAAGTGATTTTGCGCCAACGTGGGAAGCGATCACTCTCTTGGCGAATTATGTATCATGTGAGCAACATTCAGGTAGCTGCCATTAGAGCCAATTTTTGCAGCTCTAATCAGATTGTCTTTTAGAAATGCAAAGCAAGTTTCCAGTAACCTCGAGAGTGTAGAGACTCACATGTGCGGTGTATGTTGAACAAAAGAAAATACCTTCCCATTCTTGTATAAAACAAAATCGGTTTGATCCTAGTATATGGTGCACACAAGATTTGATGACATTATCATGAGCAGTGAATTGGATATTTATGATGAGCAGTTAACGGGTCATTTTTGTGTAGGCGACAATTTTCAAAATCGTGCCAAGGGCCATACCATATACTAATATTTTACCTCAAAATGTTTTAAATTTTTTTTATCAATAAATGCCTTATTTGCCATTTTGAAGTAAAATAAAATATAATAATCACTCATCTAAGCTAACTATTTAATGTAAGTATATTCACCTAAATATTGTTGATTATTGTAATTCATTTTTTGGTCTTTAAGCAATTAACTTTATTTTTAAGTTACTTGTATCATTTAATATCACTTCTTCCGTCTAAATTTATTATTAGTTAATAATACTTTCCAACTCCAGGCAGTTTTCTCTGGCATACTCCTGAAACTAATTTTAGCAGTATGACCATCATGAAATTTATTCACATATGTTTGCTTATGTATGCTTTAAAATGAATATAAAGTACCTGAATTTATTTTAAAATATCATCAAGTAGATTTCTTTCTTTCATTTAGCTGCAAAATGTCTGCAAAAAAAAGACATTCTTTAATCCAGATTGGGTAGATTCTAATCTCAATCTTCAGTGGAGAAGACAAAACTCCTATTATAGTTACAACAGTAATACTTTGGGGGACTACACAGAGTAATTCTAAATTGTTTTTACAAATTAAGAGGGGTAATAGTTCTCATCCATATAAGCAATAATTACCATAAAACACAGGATCGCATTCCACTATGAGAGGGAGAAAAGAGGACTATTAGAATTCCAACCTGAACTTACAACAGTGTTAGGAGAGTGAATGAACAAGACCAAAAGTTGCATAATCAGTTTAGTGAAAACTCACAGACAGTGTACAAAACGGATAAAACCGAAAACTTGGCTTTCAAGTGTTAATTCGACCTCAGACTTTGATGGCAAACACTCACATTCACATCTTTGGTTGGCAAGGTCTCAACCTCACAGACGATTGCAAAAAGTTAATATTCTAAATAATGAGAGAGAAATTATCTATTAGTGGGGAAAACTGCTACCTTGATATCAAGTATCAAGAAGGTAGCAGTTTTTTCCCCCCTTCTCCATCTTCTATCCTGTCTTCGTGGACTTACTGTGCTATGCGCATTTTACTTCTATGGGATACGAAGTTCTGACAGCCAAAACACAGCATGAACTTTTCATGCTATTCTTGGCATACAGTGAAAGTTGGAGTTTGCTGATAATATGATTGATTGATAACTTGATTAGGTAATTAACTTGTTGCAGTTGTTTGCGAGGTTGAGTCTTTGCCAACCAAAGATGTGCATTTGAGTGTTTGCCATCAAAGTCTGAGCTCGAATTAACACTTGAACTCCAAGGTATCAGTTTTGTGAAAAGTCTGTGAGTTTTTAATTACTGATTTTGCAACTTTTGGTCTCGTCCATTCACTCTCTCAACAGTAAGTTCAGGCTGGAATTCTAATATTCCTCTTTTCTGCCTCTCACAGTAGAATGTGACCCTATGTTCTATGGTATTTATTGCTCATCTGGATGAATACTATCAACCCTCTTAATTTATAAAAACACTTTAGAATCACCCTGTATATACTGATATATATATGTCATATGTAATTAGAAAATTTTTGTGTTTTCATATGGTACCATAATTAATTTACCTCTCAGCACAACCAGCGTGCCAACACTTTCCAATCACAAAGCCCTTATTTTTCAATGTGATAACACTATACCTCATGCTGCTTTGTTATACTGAAATATAACCCCTGCTGACATTGATTGAGACGTTTTGCCACATATAGGCACGTTCGCCAAACCTTGCTTCTTCAGACTGTCATTTTTTTAAAAAATTTTTTTATTATTATTGCAGAGTGCCTTGGTTCTTTACTATATCTAAAATGTGAAAGCGTCATTACTAGTTTTTATGCATCTCAAAATTATTTAGAAGAATGCATCAGAAAGGTTTTAAACATCTTATATTTTGCATTTATTCTTGCAATTTTTTTTTAAAAAAAGAGTTAATAATAGATATACAATCAAAAGAGGACACATAGATATACAATCAAATGAGGGCGCATGAATATATAGTTGTGTTAATTTATTCAGTCAAAGGAGAATGTGTGTATAGCATCCTCAACTTCTGTGCAAAATATGGAATTCTTAAGAAAAAAATCAATTTTAAAAATGTATGAGTTGTATCATCATTTTGAAGCTAATTGAAGAAGTTTGGTGGAAAAAAATTTCCAAAATTCCATTTCTTTCATAGAATTTTGGTGTGACAGCATATGTCTCGTTTTCCACCATATACATTCTATGTTTATATATATGCCAGAGTTGGCCAAACTTCATGTCAGTAAGAGCCCAGCACGTTTAAATTCGCGAACCACATCTAGATTTTCTAAAAGTGACAAGTTCATATTTACATCATTATACAAATTGTGGAGAAGGTTTTAAGTAGAAAGAAATCCCTGATAACTGTGTAAAAAGAGTCTAAACTAATTAATTACTTCTTCTTGGACACTGAATAGTTTTAGTTTACCATATTTCATACATATATTTTATATGCATGAGCCGCACAAATTGCCTGCGAGAGCCGTATCAGATTCATGAGCCGCACTTTGGCCACCCCTGATATATGCAGAGCACTCAGCCCAACCATGGTGTGTGTGTTTGCCAAATTTTTATGCCTTCGTCCTTTTTATTATAAGAAGAGTACTTATTTCCATTCCTGTTTCATATGTGTTTGACCTAGGGGTTGAGTATTTTGGCTGTATGGACTTATCAGTTTTATTAGTAAGTATAATTTCAGTAGAGTATAATTTCAAGCCAATATACCTTAGAAAATCTTATACAAAGGCATCATAGTGTAATAGCTCTTTCATGCTTTGTTATTAACAGTTAATCCTAATCATAATCTTGATTTGTATTTCAAATAAAACCATTGCTGAATATTAATGCTGCTTGGCTGAAATAAAACATTTTCATTATCTATAAGTTTTGTAACTCTGTAACATGTAACTAATTCTGGAATTATTTCTATATTTTCAGAGAATTTCAGTATTTGAACCCTATCCTATGCGAGATGCTGTTCAGCATTTTTGTGAAAAGCACCTTGATAAAATTAAAGCATATATGGTTAAAGTATTTGTCAAAATTCCTTTGCCTGTTAGGTGTACTATTGAAGGTAAAAATTTTCATACCTTTTTTTCCATGTGAAAAGACCTTACATTTGTATATATGTATCTATTTTTGGTTGATTAGCATACAAATATGTTAAAGATTAAACATTTTAATCTATGTATTCTCTCTCTTTTTCTTCTGTAGAACGAAAAGCTAGGAAGCATGCTAAAATATATTTTGCTTGTCAAGGAAAAGGGGAGCATTGTTTATATAACAGAACATTTTTCATAATGAAAACTCGTAATCCACGTGTATGGATTCATTTAATGTTCTTGGCTTTGCAGGTTTGCTTTCTTGAGTACTAATTTTAATGCATATTTGCTTGCATTTATGAGAATTATAAAATTTCAAATTGTGTTGTTATTATAGGCCAGGGCTTCAATGGCTCTCAGTACTAGAGAAGCATCTGTAAGTAGCCTGAAAAATTGTTGGGATACATTGAAAGCTGATAATAAAAGTTTTCTTACTTTGGTGACTTCTGCATTTCCTTCTGCAAAGGTAGTATAACGAAATCTGCCCATATTCTGTCAGTTTTAAATTCTCATATGCATGCTTATAATTTTAAAGAAAATTAATTTTAACAGTGTAAAGAAACCTTATTTTCCACTAAGAGATGAAGAGCCTTTTCTAATAACCTACGATTTGATTTGCTGTCATAAGAAAAGAGGGAAATGTCATTTTTGTACTCAGCAAGTTAACAGCATTATTAATGCATTTTGTATAAAATATACTTATAAATTTTCCCTTTAAACTTATTATATTTAGGAAAATATATACATCTACTGGGTGATTCAGAATTCATCATCAGTATTTGGTGGAGAGGTAGGGAATAGGAAAAGAAAGAGATTTCACATAGGAAAGTATGGGCACAGGCGAATGCATGGTGGTATAGAGGGCGCTGTGTGTACACAACTTCCATACATAGCACAGCTGTTTGACGTGTGCAGCCAGTCATCATTCGACTAAGTGACTTTGCAGAAGTAACATGAACCGGTATACATGGAATGAACTTGCAGATATGCATGTAAATGCCAGGCATATTCCAGAAGGTCCGGTTGTCCATGCAACACTGTTGTGAGCCATGCATTCTAGCGCATAGTCAGCAGTTCAAGCACCTCTTGTAAGTCTGTAAAACCGATGCAAAGAAATGTTTCATGTAAGATAATAATTTTTTTTTCCTTACTGCCTCCTACTTATGTGTTCTTTCCAGCATTGAATTGGGGTCATTTTGCCCTACTACATGACATATGCGCCCATGCATTCCTATGTGAAATCTTCTTTTCCTATTCCCTATGTCCCCACCAAATAGTAGTGATGAATTCTGAATCACCCTGTATAATTTTAAAAAAAATTATTTTTATAATTTTTATTGCCATTATCATTCTTAAAAGATGAAAACAGATGTCCTATAGGCAAAGTTAGGGGGAATGTGAGATAAAGATTAATAGTAACTAATTCAAACAACCAAAATCAGTGTTAAAATTTCAAATTTTCACAGGACTAGTTTCGATGGTTTTACTGAACCAACATCCTCAGCTGCAAAAGCACAAATGAACGAGATAGGATATAATGATTAGATAAGATAAGAAAGCCTGGACAGTAGATAAGCTACTGGTGCCATCTGTTGATGAAACCAGAACTAAAACATAATTTCTTTAAAGGCCGGAAGGCAAAGATGGATTGGAATTAGGATCGTTAACTAAAACAGAAAGATTTTTTTTGAATGTGAAATGCCTCTAGAAAATCCAGTTCTCAATGGAAGATGTTTTTTGAATAATTTTGGCAGCAGAAAAATTGAAAGTGTGATTTTCGGACCAACAATGTTGAGCAACAGAAGACTTCTGTGTTTCCTTTTTTCTAACATATGCCTCATGTTCCTTGACGCGAAATTTTAAGGCTCTCTTAGTTTGGCCAATGTAAATTAAACCACACTGGCAAGGAATCCTATAAATACCCCAGGAATTCATATCCGGAATGGGGTCCTTGAGTATGGAACTCGGAATTTTATTGATGGGAGAATAAACAACCCAAAAGTTAAATTTCTGCAAAATATGTGCAACTTTATAGCTAATTGATGGAAAGAAGAAGGAATGACAACAGAATTTTTGTATAATCTCCTAAAACAAGAGTGTGCCTTTTAGTGTGTTGAGATGAGAATTTTTTAACTGCTTGATTAATAATGTTGGGTGAAAAGCCCCTGTCAATAGCTATTGCTTTTAAATAATTTAGTTCTTTCATCAAGGGATAGTTTGGAGGAGCAAACTTGAAGAGCACGGAAAACATAGGAATAAAATGAAGCTAACTTTTGTTTAGTCGGATGACATGATTTAAAGTGTGGTGGAAGGCAAACCGATGAAGGTTTACGGTAAACCGTAGTACTGAAGTTGGATGTGTTACATGTGTGACGTGGAAGTTGTTACGAGAATGTCGAGAAACGGAAGAGAATTGCAAGTCTCAAATTCAAAAGTGAACTGAATAGCAAGATCAATAGAATTCATTGTTGAAAGAACTTTATTTAAATCATCTTTATTACCTTCAAAGTACAGGGTAAAAGTATCGTCTACGTATGGAACCATGCCGGGAAGTTTAAAGTTTCAAACAATTTTGATTCCATAATAATGCATGTAGATATCAGCCAGGATGGGATGGGAGTGAGGGGGCTTTCCCATGGCTAATCCCTCAGTTTGCTTGTAATATTTATTTTGGAAAACAAAATGTGTTTGTTTCAAACAGAGTTGAGTGAGAGAAATTAGCTCATCAATTTCGATGCAAGACAAATGAAATTCGCGAAAGTCTGGTTCTATTTCTAATCTTAATGCACCCTTCTTCACTGGAACATTGGACACTGAACATTGGTGAATAATGATTTTACATCAAAAGAAACCATGAGTAAATTTCTAGGAGAAATGTTTTAACCTTTTTTACAAACTCTATTGAATTTTTTATTGGTGTAAATGTTATTGTCTAATAGAGTTGAAAATCTAGAAACTAAATATTTAGCTAATGGATACGATGAGGCAGTACCTGAATTTGATACAATAGGGCAGAAAGGAATACCACTTTTATGAATTTTGGGAAGAGCATATAATCTGGCAACAATTCGCAACAGATGAGATAAGCGAATGTGTTTTAAGTTGCTTGAAATGATTCGTGAAAATTTGATTGCAGTTTTTTATTTTGACAGGTCCGAAGGTGAAGGATCTTTAGGGATCGGATTATATGGTCCTTCGTTTAAGAGTTTAGTGACACCATCAATGTAAGTGTTCTTATTCCATGACGACTATCTGGCCACCTTTGCATGCCTTTGAAATGATAATACGGGTTAGAATGAATTTCGCGCATTGTAGCTCTTTCTCTCACAGTTAGATTTGGTTTCAAAGGTTTATTATTGAATTTCACATTATGAGCGATAAGATGCCTAATCATTTCTTTCTGTGAATCTGAAACTTTACTGAACTTGAAAGTTTTTTCGATAGGAGCCAAAATCTTTGGAATCGAGAGTTTACAGGTTTGTGAGAAGTTAAAATTATATTTTAGACTTCTCTCTTGTTCTTCTGAAAGACTAACATTAGAAATATTAACTATTGGCTTGATGTTTACAATGGGAAGATTTTTTGAACTACTTGAACTGGAAGACTGTAAAAAAGTTTTTCGAATATAACTGCAAGGGTGTTTTTATGACGGTTAACTGCATTCTCCGTTCTAGACCAAGACTTTTGTTCAAGGGCAGTGAATTTTGGATATGAATTAGGGAGTTCCAGATGAAGCTTATAGAGTTCATGTTCAATTTTGGACAATTGTTGACGTGTATCCCTTATGATGGACCGAAGTAAGGCTAGCTTGCAGTTTTAACAGAATTCTTGAAACGTGACTGCAAGGTTTTTGATTAGATTTGATTTGAATGACGTAACATATCCAACTTCAGTGCTGTGGTTTACCATAAGTCTTCATCGGTTTGCCTTCCATCACACTTTATATCCTGTCATCTGACTAAAAAAAAGTTAGCTTCATTTTATTCCTATGTTTTCCTTGATCTTCAAGTTTGCTCCTCCAAACTATCTTTTGATGAAGAACTAAATTATTTAAAAGCAATAGCTATTTACAGAAGCTTTTCACCCAACATTATTAATCAAGTAGTTAAAAAATTCTCATCTCAACACACCAAAAGGCACACTTTTGTTTTAGGAGATTATAAAAATTCTGTTGTCATTCCCTTCTTTTCATCAATTAGCTATAAAGTTTTATGTATTTAGCAGAAATTTAAATTTTGGGTCGTGTATTCTCCCATCAATACAATTCCGAGTTCCATACTCAAGGACCCCATTCCGGATATGAATTCCTGTGGTATTTACAGGATTCCTTGCCAGTGTAGTTTGATTTACATTGGCAAAACTAAGAGTGCTTTAAAATTTCCCGGCAAGGAACATGAGGCATATGTTAGAAAAAAGGAAACGCGGAAGTCTTCTGTTGCCCAACATTGTTGGTCCAAAAATCACACTTTTAATTTTTTCTGCTGCCAGAATTAATCAAAAAAACTCTTCCATTGCTGAACTCGATTTTCTAGAGGCATTTCACGTTCAAAAAAATTTTTCTGTTCTAGTTAACGATTCTAATTCCAATCCATCTTTGCCTTCAGCGTTTAAAGAAATTATGTTTTAGTTCTGGTTTCATCAACAGATGGCACCACTTGCTTATTCTTGTTTAGGCTTTCTTATCTTATCTAATCATTATATTATGTATCGTTCATTTGCGCTTTTGCAGCTGAGGATTATGGTCCGGTAAAACCATCGAAACTAGTTCTTTGAAAAATATAACGCTGGTTTTTGTTGTTTGGCTTCTGAATTAGTATTTGTTCGGCATGTTATTGTGTCTTAATTAATAGTAACTAGTTTAAATTCATAAAATTTAATAAAAAATTCTTTATTTTATTCCATAAATAACCAAAGTAACCCCCCTAAGCTATATAAATAATGTCTTCTGTAAGATCTGTATGTAACTTGAGGTTTATGTAAGTTGAATTTTTAAAGTGCATAAGCAGAACTTCATAAGAAACTACATTTATTATGTGCATTTCTCTGTGTGTATTTTCATGTACTCTGTACAGTAGAATCCCTTTCCACTGGCATCAAAAGGTCCATGCCGATCGCATATAAGAGATATTTCTGATGAGATTTCTAGCCCTTTCCACTGGCATCAAAAGGTCCATGCCGATCGCACATAAGAGATATTTCTGATGAGATTTCTAGATAATTGAATGTATACTTCAAGAACTTACTTGCACATGTGATGCCATCTCTGGAAATTTGTGTGTGTGAAATCTGTCGGTAATGTTTTGATCTGTTGGCCACAATGAAATAAATGATATCCATAATTGTCCATATTATTTAAACAGCTGACATGATTTTACATTTCAACCAAAAAAAAAAAATTAAAAATTACCATATTTCTTATCTCATGAATGTTATGAATTTGACATATACCTTCGAATGTCTGCCTGCTTCTGATGTCACTATAGTTTTAAAAATTCACCGTGTGTACAATGAAGTTTCATAACATTATAGACTTAGATTAACATTTCTTAGTGAATACAGTCAAAAGTCTTTAATCCAGACTTGTTGGGACTTCGGCAATTCTGGATTATCGGTTTTTCAGGATTATAGATCACCAGTTTAAATCTGGTAAGATGGCATGCAGAAATTATTAAAATTAAAAATATGAAACCGTAATTTATGAAATAAAGAGCAATTATGATCTAAAAGGTATAAAAATTTACAAAAAAAAGCTTAATATTTATTTGCTTTATTAAACATTTCTTTCAACGTGCGTACACATAAAGCGTACATTACGCATAGTCGAAATTAGAAAATTGCAACCAGAAAACTATTTGATGTGTATTCGTGATATTTATAATGACGAGGAATTTGATTTAAATCATATCAAAGACGAAGTACATAGAGATGAAATACTACATTTAGTAAGAAATTATAAACCAAATAAAATAAAAACATCTGCCCTGAAGATAAGGATAGTGTTGACAGATCAACTTCCAGCTCATTGAGCGCCACGACGCCCCCCGGTGGAGCAGCGGGAAATTGATAAACGGATTTCAGAATGGTTAGAGAAACAAAAGATATGCCTTTATCCATTTTTTGCAGCAATTCCACTTTTTGTTTGATGGACATCGAAACATGCTTTTGCTTTGTAGATCCTTTGGCAGCTTCAGAATCGGAAATTCTTTTTGACATAATCGAAAGTTCAAGCTTACTTTTATAAAATTGCTCTAACAGTCTGCAAAAAATAATAAGCCAGATCCAATTCGAAGATTAAGGAACAACGCAATCTGCAACATTAATTGAAATAGACATTTAGATCATTTTAGTTTAGCTTATACCGTCTGTTATACATTAAATGCGCATGCGTAAACGCACATGCGCAGGCGTAAAGGTATTATGAGCACGCATAAACGAATTAATGTGTTTACGCATACGCAGATTTTGTAGCTTTGAGGTCCGGATTATAGATCATTCCGAATTATAGGCGTCCGGATTAAAGACTTGACTGTATCATAAAATTCTAAGCTTTCTTGCTGTGTGTGTTGTTTTCATCTTCGGCCTCTTCCTCTTTGTCATTATCTTTTTCTTTTCCCAGTACTTACCTGATTATTTTTTCATCACCTTGAGAGTGTATGATCAGATCTGAATAGTTCAGATCCTTCATAGCCTATAACTCCTCTTCACGAACACTAATCTCTGAAATTTAACTACATTCAAGATAATCAGACATGGGCTGGGCTTGTTTTGAAACCAAAGAGAATCTGCATTACTCGTATGTACAAGCATGATTGCAGGCCACAATTGACATCAACAGTAAGGTAAAATAATGTTCTTTATCTGCTTCCAGGAAAGAGACAAAGTAAATGTGCCCTGTCTTATGAACTGTATCTGAAAATTGTGGGCATTACTTAAATTTACACATAGACATGTATCAAATGGGATCAATACTTCATCTTAATATTTTGGATAATACCTTGATTGACTAGTCACATAAGGTTTTTTAAATTGAGTGGCAGAAACATAATACAGATATTTTCATCATTTAAGTCTTCAAACTGTAAGCCCATTATAGCCACTTTATCTAGACCTAAATTTAGACTTTCAAAAGTGTCGTCGTTTTTGATATTGCAGTTAATTGGATGCTAGTTGTAGGGGATTTTACTATATGTACTTTCATGCTTTCAACAACGTGAACTTATCTTTCACTGCCATATTCATTAAACGAGTAGGCCAATTTATATCCAGAGTTATTGTTTATATAATGTCCTCATCTTCATTTTTAATTATTTTTAATTATCAATTTATTCAATTTGCAGTTATTTTAGAAGAGTTGTTTTCAGTTTTCTTGTAAAGTAATTAGATTTTTAGATTTATTACCAGTGCCTTGCATTTTGACTTTCAAATACATTTTAAGGGTAACTAAACAATGAACACTGCCATGATAAATAAGTGACTAAAGTAATTGCATGAAAATTATTTGAATGCAAGAAGTATAATTCATGGAAAGAAGGAATTGTTTATGCAATCATTGTTTCTAATTGGTTTCGTTTTGAATATTATAAATTTTGTGCATTTAACATAATTGTAAACTTGCTTAGGTCAGGGGGTTGTAAATATCCATTCGAAGAAATCCTCTTCTGAAATTTTGTCTCCAACAAATACCTTCCAAAAAGATAGCTGCCATCATAGAATGTGAATTTTCGTAGCCCATGAGAAATCATAGTGAATCGTAGAATCCCTAAGAAAATTAAAAAGTGCTAATTAATATAATTTCAATTATATGAAAGTTGTTTCTCCGGTAGAGGGTTTCAGTTTATTTTATCAGAATAACCACATGCTCAAGTCACTTGTTTTCCTTTTAAGAGATATTTAGCTTTAGGTATGTTTTCTCTTCTTTTCTACTTCCCCCCTTTTTTGTATGTGTGTGTGTGTGTAAAGAGAGACCAATTTGTGTCCCAAATTTAAGTTCCTTTATGTGAGACTTTACTGAGCATGTGTACCTAGTTTAAATAACAGTATTCATATCTCAGTTTACAAAATTTACAGTGAGGTGGAGATTTGTATTATTTTTATCTTGCCACTTTCTTTTTATTTTTGAAAAACTTCCTTTTTTAAGAAAAAATTATTTTAAAATCTTAAAGAAAAGAGAATATCCTTCTTAAGAATTTAAAAGGTTGAGATCTTAGGACTGAATATGAAGTAAGAAACCTTTGTGACTGACTAACTAACTATTACATCTTTTTTGTGTGCCTTTAAACAGAAGTTTTTATTTTACGTTACATCATCAATGATTTCCATGTTTTTAATAGGATCAAGACACATTAATAACTGAACTTCGCATAGCTAGATTCTTTGATGTTTTTGAATATAATGGACCTCTAAATTTATGGGGCTGCTTTTTATGCAATCATCCGGATAGAGCAAGGGGTTTTCTTCAAGATAAGCAACCTGTTATAGAGGTAACAAAAATTCTAGATTTGTGATTATTATTTTAGATTTGTTGAATATATATTTGTAACTAATATTGTTATGTCAAGGGTCAGTTAAAAGAGAAAAAAGGGAAATGGAAGCTCTTTCGTCGTTGGAGGACAAGATATTTTACTTTGTCAGCTGGGCATTTATCATATAGAGGATCTGTAAGTTTTCTGAGATTTTAGTTGATTTCTTTTCTTGTATATCTATTGCTCCTTTTACTATTAGAATTGCAAAAAATTCAAGAACTTGGAATGATTTTATTTGTAATCAAACTGTCCCAATAGCTAATGGCAAGCTGTGCATCGAGTTGATTGAAGTTAAACAAATTTCGCTTACTGTGCATGCCCAGAATAGAATTTTCTGCAATTACAACTTTGGTGCAATTTTAAAAGAAGATAAATATGGTATATGGTTAATATTGTGTTATCTGGGTGTAATCAGTTTAGGGTTTTAAAACTTGTTAGGTTGTAATTTGCTTCATAATATATAATTTAACTATGTACGATTGTAAACTATGTAAATTTTAGTTTAAGAAGGATTACAGAACAGGAGACATTACAAGATATATTAGCTGAATGCTTATTGATTATACTTCTGAGGAATAAAAGCAATTGAGTATTTAACATGCATTCCATTCCTATATACTTTAACAAATTAAAAAATAAAACCAGTTTAAAGTACTAAATTAAAGCCAAATAACTGATATTAAATGTAATGTTTATAAACAAAATAAACCAAAATGAAACAGAAGCGCATGCAATAAGCACACACAAATTTCCGTAGTATTTCAATTGTAAATGGTAAAACCAACATTACTAGCAGGCTTGTGTAGGGTTACTTATGCCTTAGTCGCTAGTATTTCCTCCCAATCCAACGGTACACCATTGAGCATGCGCACTAAGCGAAATTCTTTAAAATTGATAAACTTAGTGTGTGTTAAAATTGATCAACTTAGTGTGTGTTTTGCCATTATGCGTCCCAATAGCATTAATGTCACGTTCATTTTTAGAACATTTACAGCTTTTCGTTATTTTTCTCTGTCTCTATATTATATATATTTCTCTGTCTCTATATTGTCTCTATATTATTATAATTTTACCAAATACATATGATCACGAAGCAACAATTGAATTTTTATGTACGTTTCTAGACTATAAATTCTAAAATTAAAAAGTGAAGCATTTGTCTATAATAATGGGATTGTAGCAAATTTGCAAGTCCCAAAATAAATTTTTGAGATGAAATAGTGCTGCAAACAGTTTCAGCATTAATACAATTTTAGCCTTATAATGATAACTATGTATCAGAATGTATTAATGTACAATAACTGTACATCAGAATCACATTAGGAGTGTTCATAGGAAAAGGCATGAAATGACACTATAGGTATACTGAAGTCTTTATTCACAAGTAATCAACAAAGACCTGAGTACAACTATCCCACTGTTTCACGAGCTGCAGAATTCCTGTAGATGTGACAGGCACCAGTCCTCTACTGTGTCCTTCATCTCTGCATTCGAGTTTGAGATGCGCTTGCCTTTGAGATGTCACTTCTGACAAAGTCATCCACCTTGTTGATGAGTTCGGTCATGCTTACCATTTTTACTTGGCCTGGTCTCGGCTCATCATGTCTCGGCTTGGGGATAACAATGTGTGCTTTATTTGAGGGTTGGTAAAAATTAGGGGTAGTTGTGTTTATTCATTTGATGGTTTGAAATGTAGAATAAAAGTGCAAGCATCCTAACAAAGTATTTACAAAGCCAGTACAATGCTGTTATATAAAAAATGTTGCATAAAGTCACAATACACAAAATTGTTATCAAGGCTTGTGAAAAGCAAGTGTGCTGCATGGCCATATTGTACATTGACACAGTGTGTGAAAATACACCATGAAGGAAGAGGTGCCATGCAGGATTGATGTCTTTCTGTGAAAACCCAGGTTTACAACCACACAATTCAGTTACTTCTTTCTTGGGCATTGATTGCTACTGGCCTGCCTTGGATTTAGCTGTTGAGGTACCTGCATTTCATAAAATAAGTTTGGCACTTGCACAAGTATTTTTGCCTCTACTTCCAGAGGGAAGATGAGGATTTCATTTGATGACAATGCACAAATCATATGCTTGCTCCAATGAAATGCATTAAATGTCAATTAGTGAACAGACACATCCTGGTTTACCTCATTCACAGAAATGTGAATGCTATGCCTTATGGCATGCAGATAAGGCTCAGTATGGAATATGACACTCATTGACAGATGACATTTACTGCTTTGTACTATATCTTGAAGACAGACTGATGCTGCGTACTCATACTATTTCCTGCAACACATCAGCATCCAACTCTTGACCAAGCAACTTGTCTTTGGTGATAGATTCCATCATAATGTCATGATTCAAGTGTGTCACAAATCTCTTGCAGTGGTGGAGAAGACAGGTAGTGATTCCATCTGACTATAATCTCTTAGCCAAAATGAAAGAACTGCTAGGGGGAATCCATTGCAACAATAAAGCGGAAGCTATCCATAATTTTAGGGCAGATGCGGCAAGTCATCAGCAGCAATGAAAATGCTGATGGTGTACAATGCTTTCGAGTAATTTGGCAGAAGGTGGTTATAGGCAAATATATTGAAGGAATGTAGTATCGAGCAATAGTCAATAGTATGAAGCAATAGTCTTTTCAGAACTGTCAATATGCTGCTTGTACTTTTTATCCAACCCTTAGATCTGTGGCTGAAGTTATGAAATGCTAGGAGGAGTATTCTTGATATATAGCCTCAGTATGGTTGCATGATGTTTTTTGTTGTTTACAACTTATCAGTGGTGTCTTGGTTAACACTGCTAAGGAGTGGTTGGTTTTAGTTTCCAATGAGCAGTCTGTTTGCATATAGTTTTTCTCTGTGTGTATTATTAATACAAACCATCACTCTTAGGAAACCTATAAGCTGCAATTTTTTGCTTGGCGGAATGTCTTGAATATAATGCTCTATTTTAAGCCACAAAAAAGGCTTAAGGCTTTTTGAACAGAATTTTCTAGCAACTGAAGGCTTGACCTGGAAATTTATTGTGGATCTTTTACTGTGGTGGTGAGGATTCTACAATCACCTTATGAAGAGCATTAAGGAACAACTGAAAGATCTTAGTCAGGAGCTCAACTCAGTGTTGAAGAATTCATGACTGTACTGACTAAAGTCAAAAATATTGTATATAGACGACCTTTGACCTGCATTTACAATGACTTAAACAGGGTTCGTAGCGGTCCTTATAAGTGCTTATAAGTCCTTATATTTGAAAATAAAATATAAAGGCCCTTATAGGTGCTTACTTTTTCTTTAAAGCCCTTATTTTTTTGTTTGTTTTTTGTTTTTAGTGCTTTTTTTTTTTTTTTTTTTTTTTTTTTTTAATGAACGCTCCATTTTTTTCCCCGTAACCAAAGCCGAAACTAAATAAACAACTTTCTTCCTAATATGGAATGTCAGATGGTGAGTCATACTCCCGGAAATAGCTTTTCCCCCTTTCTCTGCATTAACATAACCTTTGGTGTGCACGAAGAGTACAGACAGGTGCCCGTCGTTCTATTGGTCCAAGAATTGCGAAAGCAGTAGAAAATTCCGCTACATTCGGCATTCTTTTCTTCCCACCCAAATACTACATATGTTTGAATTTCTATCAAGATCTTAAAAATTTGCATTCTCGTTCTGCTTGGTCAGTTCATATTCGTGTTTATTATGATCGTTATGCTTATATTATGAGCATATGTATGAATGTTTATAATAACATAGTTCCAGTAACTGCTGAAGTATAGTAAACTTCCAAAAATGGTTGTGTTTTAACACAGATTAGCTTTCTAATAATATTCGGAATGGCTTAAATAAAGGGAAAGTAATCGAATAGTCAAAATAATTTAATTTTTTTAGGCAATACATTATACAGTACGAAGGTTGGGAGGTCTCCCCTTTCTCCCCAAAATCTTGAATATTGAAATTGTTACAGTTCGCTGCAAAACAAGCAACGGACCCCCCCTTTTTTTTTTCTTTGTCACTTTCCAATCTGTATTGAATAGGACTAAAAGTTCTGTGGTCTGCCAACCCAAGTGAAGAATGATTCTATTCCGAAAATTTAATGGCATCTGTTGAAAATAAGAATGAAAAACACCAGTTATTTCCTTCTTTATTCTCCCAATACCGGCAGTTGTTGATTCCGATTCCGTAATATCACGTAGGGAAGAATTACGGTGCAAGTATTGTGCAATAACGTTTGCGATATTTTGCAGAGATAATTAATTTTGATGTTCAGTTCGAGATTTGTTTATAAACACTTAAGAGTTTTGTTGTGCTTGCTAAGCAGAATATTTTTTAGTTCCGTTGGTTTATTTTTATATGATGCACATATTGAAATGTCAAAAGCATTTATATAGCGGAAAAATCTAAAGAGCGGCTACAGTCTCCACCCCCCTCCGCTCCTTCAAGTTACGCTGGACTGTCCGAATATTCGCCAATTTCCAAGTATGCGGGTTACTTAAGCTTTACTGTTAAAGATGACTGCATGAAGCAAATTTCTGTCTTCTGATTTCAGAAATGTTCCTCTCATTTACTTAAATTACTTTGCTTGCAATATCTGTAAAGAGAAAACAGATATACAATGAAAATTTAGAAAATGTTCAGAATTTAGATTTAAATTATTTAAATATCGATATTACTGGAAAAATAAATTGTATTTATTATTAGGTTCCAAGCGAATACAATAAATATGCCTTATTATTATTTATTTTCTCTATTTTGAACTGAAATTTCATCATTAAATCTTGTAATATAGTTTAGTTCTTCATAGTTTTTTTTCTCTCATTGTAAACTAGTTCTGTAAATTGAACTATTATTTAAAATTTAAAAAAAAGAAAAAAAAAAAAAAAAAAAAAAGTAATTATTTTCCATGGTTGAGGTAATGCTTATTCTCTCTTAATAAGTACTTCATTTCTCATATTTTAAATTGCAAGTCTAATTTTTAAGGTTATGCAGTTGTGTATGATGTAATTAGACAGGTGCTTATTTTTTTTCTTAAAATGTGCTAGAAAAGTGCTTATAGGTGCTTATTTTTTTAACTAAAATGTGGCTATGAACCCTGTTACATAAACCTGAATGCTTACACAGGTTGATTTTCTATTGATCAGACATAAAGCTGAATATCCATGCAACTTTGTTGAGATCCTGTGAAGAGAAAGTCTATTAAAATGAAAACAATATCGGACAGCACTTATAAAACGGATTTGGAAAAAATGGAAAAATAAGTAACTTCTTCGCTTATGCTCGTTTCATCATTACACCAGAAACTAAGAAGAATGTTAAAATTAGTGATATAGTTTAAGGAATAGCTAAATGCGAGTTCCTCTGGGATTTATGTCGAATAATTCAAGTTTTGAAATGACATGATGGTCTTGTAGGATCATGTGTGGGGAAAACTGAAAAAGGAGACTGTAATTGATATACGTCCTGAATTATCAGACTGAAAAATGAAATAATTTAAAAACTTCTGCTTTTGCACGTGTAAAAAAATTGTATTCTAATGCCATAGTAATTTTTTTTGTAAATATATTGCAATCAGGCATATTAATTTTGCCTTAAAAGTGAGTGTTTTGTATAATTGATTGAAACTTTGTAATTTCAACCCAGGGGAGTGTTAAATCCCTTTGAAGGGAGATGGCACTGCCATTGCTACTGTTACAACAAAAATAATGCTTGTTAAGTTTATGATGCTTGATGATGGGTTCTAGGCCTTTTTTAAAATGGGCCCACCAGCGGCCGAGCGGTAACGTCGCTGAACACTGGTAGTTCAGTCCGAGGTTTGAATCCCGCGAACGGGCTGGCTGCATGGGTGTTTTCGTGGTTTTCCCCATGTGTAACGTGTATACGAGCCAGTTTCCCTTAAAAAGTCCTCCATGAAGGCATCCCTCCCTTAAGGCAGATAGCCCTCGAGTGCTTTGCCGTAATCTAATAAACTAAACCAAACTTTTTTTAAAATGAATAATTATTGTTGTGTTTATACTTCATATTCTTCTCTCAGTATTGCTATGAGCATCCTTATATCATTTTTTCCCCCAGTTTTCAAAACGAATATGCGCCTAACCTAATGTTTATAATTTCTTGATTCTCTGAAAAGTGATAAGTAAAGGGAAAGAAAATATCAGATTTGGGTCCAGGAATATGAAATATACCAGAAACACCAAGAAAAATTGTGGAAAGGGAAAACAATGTGTTAGAAACAAATCAGTGTAAATGAAGTCTAGAGCAGTGTTTTCCAACCTTTTTTATGCTATGCCCCAGCTAATCCTCTTTAAAATTCTTATGCTCCCCTGCTCCCCCTAGCATATACATAATTTTTAATATTCAAAAATTTAAATGTTCATGTAAACTTGAATGATGGGTTTTAGGAAGAAATATCTAAGCATTTAAATGTCCAAGTCTACTGTGAAAATTCTTTATAAAATATTTAAAATATACCATAGTTTAAAAACTTTTTTACATATACATCTGCTACATTATTCTTTATTTTTGGGAATAAAAAATAAAATTGCGACTTGAAGAAAGTTTGGAAATTTGAATATCCCTTGTCCTCTTAAACTCTGGACGAGTCCATTTTCGTATTGACCCTATAGAAAAAACAAAACATTTAATGAAGAGCTTATGTACATTATTTACATTATTGAAAGCACAAATATTCATATAATATAAATTTTCCCATCATAGGGCCAAAGATTAATTTATCAAGAACAATTATTATAATTGTTCATTACCGCTATGCGGCCAAGAACAGATCATTTCAAGGCGTCGCCCTCAAGCTAACTAAAAGAGTATTACATTCCTTTTCTGCCGCCAGTCACGTGACCTAGTCGGCGACAGACGATAAAAAATAAAAGAAAAACTGAATCCATCGGAGGGAAAAAGAAATAATTTCAACAGACCCTCTTAACAATCAAATTGCCTCTGTGGGCTTGGACCCCCACCTTGGGAAACACTGAAGAAGTAAAGCACACCAAAGTAAAACTTAAAATTAGGCAAAACAGCAGTCTGTGTTTGGCATAGATTTTAATTAAAACTGTTAATATCAATCAAAATTTTTTTATTCTCCTCTTCTGAAGAATATAGGTCTGTACCTTTTCACCTTTGAACTTGACAGTTTTAATTAAAATCTATGCTAAACACAAGGTTGCCTAATTTAAAGTAACATTTGAGTATTTAATGCTTTAATATTCATATGTTTTTGCCTGTGGTGTTTATATCAAAGGCCGTGTATAGAATTCTTATTAATGTGTTATATTTTTATGCAATTAATTCTGTTTTATTCATGCCAGTAATGTCTTTTTTCTTAGCAGGATGAAAAAGAAGTCCAGCCAATTGATATTAGTCAAATACGTAGTGTGCGTGCTATTAGCAGCAGAGGTAGAAATATTCCTAAAGCATTTGAAATATTTACAAATGAGAAAACATTTGTTTTGAAAGCTAAAGACAGCAAAAATACTGAGCAGTGGGTACAGTGTCTGTCTATTGCAATGGCTCATTCTCATGCAAAAGATGTAGCTCATTAAAAATAAGCATATTTCAAAGTAAACTCATTGCTTTGTGATCTATTTATCAGTGCAGATATTTCAATTCTGTAGTTTGTAAATAATCTTTGGTAGTTTCCTTATATGATTTAATCATTATAAAAAATTAATCATGATTTTTGCAGATCATTTTAACTGTCTTTTCTAAACTCATTACCTGTTACCTTATGCAGTAGGTAATAAGAGTAGAAATGATATTAGAGGGTGGCCATTTAACCTTATTTTCTTGAATATTTATGCTAGACATATACTTCCAGTTACAGTCATTAAAAATGTGGTAGATATAATTGTATAAGAAGAGTTTTAGCTCTAGAAGATTGGAGTGTTCCAAAATAACAGAATTTCTATGTAGTTCCCCAAAAGCAAAGAAACTTAGAAATATAATATTCATTAATTATTCTTTGCCAAGTTAAATGTCATGGCTATGTAGTTTTTAAATGCCAAATATTCATGCTTAATGTATTCTTAGGCTAGATATGAATTTAATAAATGTTGTTTCACCCATGACAAAAACACTAATTACCCTAATGTTTGTTTTGTAGTATCTTCCTAAAATTTAGGAGAAATTTAATTTCGGTCATTAGTATGCACCGAAAAGCGATCCAAGAACTAAATTCAGGAATTTTCAACATAATGTTGTGGAACTTTTTATATTGAAACCTTATAAATTTTTTACTGTTCAGGGGTTTCTCTTCATAGAAGTCTTACAGAAAGTTTTTATAACAGAATACTCCCACTCAGAATCTTGAAACTACTTTTAAAATATTCTTGTTTATGATTTATATATATGTGCCATACTTTGAGAAATTCTAAGTGGAAGTAAATGCCTGGTATTACAGAAATAAATTCTGTAGATGCTTGAATGTCTCTTCTTTGGAAACATTTGCATAAGCCAGTTTATTATGGCACATAGAGATTTTGTCTCAAAATTACAGTAAAAATATGTTTAAAAAATTGTGTTTGTGTAATGTTATGAATGAAGTGCTTTTATCTGTTGTTAACATTGACCCAGTTTGCTATTTATATGTTCCATACTGAAACTGTTTTCTAAATATTTTAAGTTACATTGATGTAATATTACAACCAAAGTATCTTTAAACTGTTTGCTCTCAGTGGCAGCGAATGAAGTGTCTTAATAGGCACATGGTCTTGGAGTGCTGAATGTCGTTTTGTGCCTGAGGGTATTTTGTAATTAAACCTAACCTACAAAAGTAATTCTTATAAAATCTGCTTCTTATCAAAATAGTTGGATTTTTATTTGTTATTTAAATGTTGTTTTTACAATTTAAATGAAAAAATAAAAGATAAAATGCAATATTAGTAATAATGATTATATGTACATATATAAATTATTTCCATACAACAATAAAATAGGAAACTTAAAAATTACATCATCAGTGTGAGTTATATTGTATTGCCATATTTATATACTGAATTTTAAGTTGATCACAGTGTGTGAAACATTTCTAAGCTGTGAACATGCATTGTGAGCATCATGCATTTTACATTCATAGAACAAAATACTCTTAAATAACAAGGCAGACATTCCAGTCAAGTTTAACAGCATTCTGATATCATTTTTGTGCATTTAAAAATTTGAAATAAAATGTTCCGTTTCAGCATATCAAATAAAATGAAGTGGGTGTCACTGTTGACACTTCACTCCCATATCACAATTTATGGTGGACCTGTGGAGGAAAACAAGTGTATTATACATATCTAGTGTGATGGGAGTGAACAAGTTAATTTTATGTAGGATAATGATTTCTGTTATAATGATATTCAGTGCTCTTATTTAAGTTTTATACAGTGTTCATTTTCATGTGCATGGCAGATTATGTGAAAGTTTTCTTGTCACATACACTGGTTACATGTTACTAAAGATAATAAAGTACTTCATTATAAATTGCTTTTTAGAGGAAAGCCATGATAAAATTGGCATAATGCGTTTGTTCGTAACTCGTTTAGTAAGCTAATTCCCTACTCTTAAAATTATGAAATGTTTAAGGAACTAGGAATATTTATTTATAAGGAATTCATATAAATGCCATCTCATAGTTTAAAATTTCATTGTGCCTTAAGATTATTAATTTCTTAAAAGTGATATATCTGTGTGTATATATATATGTGTTTATATATATATTTGTAATTAAAGATTATACTTTAAGAAATGTATATATATTTTGTGTATTCTGAAGACATGTCATTTGCTGTCATAATTTGTATTCATGTTATTAAGTTCAAATCTAGAAGGACTTTTAACAAGGCTCATTGACTTAACTGAGTTCTGTAAGATAAATACTCTGCAGGGAATCATTATACATCCCTGAAATTTAGTCTTCCATGAATATTTATATTTTAAAGATGTATATTTATTGTTATGTACTTGTGATAATAGAAATATTTTAGTTAAAGGATAAGTTGTTTTGTAAAATTTAAGAGAATAATAAACAACTTACATTCATATGCAGTTTTTTCATCTTCTGTCAGTGTAATTTTAGTGATGATTATATACATATTTCCTTCCTTTTCTAGTGATGATCTTGGTTATGTTGCCAAACGAAAGTTATAAAAAACTGAAATTTTAAAGCTAGAAAAAAGCTCAAAAGCAATTAAAAACAAAAGTTTTAAACTGAAATTTTAAAAGTTTCTAGCAGATGTATTTCAGTTACTTTATTCAAGATGAAATATATTTAAATTTAAGTGACATTAAATCATATTCCAAATAGTGTTCTGTGCTCAATTCAAACTTTTATTTCAATTTTTAGCTTTATGTGTCCATCATCAATCAATATTACTGCATGGATATTGACAAATGCTAGTCTAAGTGCCTGAGATCATATTGAATATCAGAGTAGCTGTCACCACTGGCATTTTCATCTTGCTTCTTAATTTAAACTGTACTCGTGTAAAATATTTTCAAATTTCACAGTGTTTTTGAATTTAATACATCAAGAGTAATTTTTTAATGGAGGTATTCCACATGCTGTATGTGATTTAAAGATATTTCATTAGTGAACTAAAAGTCTTATTTTTTTATACACATTGTCAAAATTCTGCTTTTTTATATATACCACATTTTTTTTTTTTCCATTGCTCATTTAGTCAGATACTTTAAAGATATATGTTTACTGTGAAAAGGGTTAGCATAACAGAAAAGCGTTTTTTGTGCGTCTTCAATTACACCAAGAAAATGGCAAATAGTTAGCTCTTTACAAGTAATTTGCAGCTGAACTTTTATCAAGCCCATTATTTTCATGCCTTAATCTTTTTCCTTTTAAATTCTAATTTCCTATATGACGAGAATAACTAAAACCGAGGAATTCTAATGCCACACAATCCTTATAAATGTCCTTTGTGAACATGTCTGCTTATAAGACAAATAAGACCTCAAACTTCAGTAACTTAAGAATTTAAGCATGAAGTGACTGACACATCTCTGGCTGTTTTGGAAAGGAAAATGTTAAAATATAAATATCAAATTAGCCTCTTCTTTCTGTATTAATTGCCAAAACTACAAGGAATCATTTTTCCTTAGACAAATAATAATAATACGTATTTATAACGTAAATTTACATAAAAATAAAAAGAATGCTCTTACCTGTGAAAAAAATTGAGTGTTGCATTCACGCAACGTCAGCAGAATAAGAATATGGATGTTTAGTGAGTATGATTGTACTCGTACGAAGTTTTCTTTGAGTGGCGCACTGGATTACTTTTTAACTGTATAACGTTTTATAAATCTGCAAATCAGTTTACTTGTAATTAGTTTAATATTAAAATTTACACTGTAGTTTTATGAATACATATTATTTTCAATTGAAGGATTCAATCACTACAATCCTGATGTAAAGCTGCATTACATATTTTGCATCTATAAACGGTTTGGCTATGGCATTCTTTGCAATGAAGTCCTCTGTCATCCTCGGACTACGATAAAATGTCTTATCATCTCCAGTCAGCTTTTCAATGCTGAATTTATTAGGTATTGCTGTTGCTGATATATTTCTGGCTAATTCACTTTCAGTAAGAGTTTGCAAAAGGAATAATGCAATATTGTGTTTGAAATCTAAAAGAGACTTTTATTTCCAGTAGGAGAAAGTCATGATAGTTTCCTAGCATTTGTCAAGGATATATCAATGTAATTTCCAAATATTGGCCACCACCATTTTTTGCCACAAACTCCTATTCTGTAATTAGCTACTAAATTGTTGCATAAATCGACTCCTCCCATTTCGGCATTGTATTGTTCAATAAATTGGAGCTGAGATACAAAAACCTTTTTCCTTTCTGTTCTTGAAGAAAGGGCAACACTTTTTATGGCTGAATTTTTTCAAATGTTGAACCAACAGAATTACAACTGAATCATTGTTCCATTGGACAAAAATTATTTTGTTTTTCTCTTCATACTGGAAATCGTAATAACCCCTGACTTTCTTACAGACCCATTTCATAGTTTCTAGTGGGCACATTTGTATGCGGTTTTCCTGAATTGTTCCTGTAGCATTGAAACCTTTATTTTTTAGATGACAGAGAAGCTGAAATAATGTAAAAAAGTTATCAAAATAAATAGCGTGATTGGCGGGAGTTTCAACAACACTGAGCAAATTTATCACCACACTTCCTCTAAGCCCAAATTCTTCATATTCTGGTAATTTTGGACCTTTCAACTTACATGAATAAATATTGAAATGAAACACATATCCATCAGATGATGCCAGAGTCCATGCTTTGTGTCCAAATCTTATAGGTTTCCCTTTTAAAAACATCTTTGCTGAATGTTTGCCTCGATAAGGAATCATTTGTTCGCCAATACTCAGATCGTAGGAAAATATACCAAACTGTTGGAATTTCTTATTTAGTAAGTTTAGATATGGTCTCACCTTGTATCATTTATCAGTATTGTCAATTTGATTATTGCTAAATGCAAATTCTGCTTCATATTCCTGTACTGCAAACATGACATCGATTCTCGTACAATAGGAACAGAAATGTCCTTATCAAGAGACCAATACATTTCTTCTTGAGGTAAAGAATGATATCCTGTAAGCAAGGATATTCCAATAAATCTTCTCACATAGGCTTCAGATGTAATAAATTCTGGTTGATCTTTTTTGCCGAGCATATACACTGGTGTGCAAAAATTAAGGACGAAGTCGAAAAATTAGCATATCAGCTGAAGGAAGAGGCAGAGCGGACAGAAAGACCAATCAGGAGATTAAGTAAGGTGATGTACAGTAGCGCATGCGCAGATGTGCAGGTAGACGTAATGGGGGAGTGTCTGAGTAGTATAAAGCATGTTGTCGGTGTAAGATCAGTATTTCTGGCAAAGAGATTGCACGCAGTATAGCAGTTAAAATCACACCGAGTTGCTGCCTTTGCGAGAAATGGCGAATAATCAATCTGTTAGACGACATCTGGATGCTTTTACCCGAGGTCAAATCATTGAGAAGTTGGAGGAAGGCCCAAGTGTGGCTGCAGAGTTCGGAATTGCTCACAGCATCGTTTCATGACATTGGAGACAATTTCAAACTAAAGGAACAGCTATCCGTGGGTTTAGTAGTGGTCGTCCACAAGGAACCACACCCTCAGATGACCGGTGGTATATTGCCTTACAGGCCAGAAGAAACAGGCGGCAGACAGTGGGAGAAATCACTAGACACACGACACAGGCGACTGGACGACCGATATCGCGTTTATACCATGGCCAGAAGACTGCAAGGTGGTGGTCTGTTTGCACGATGCCCTGTATGGTGTGTACCTCTTAACGCCTGCCCATCGGAGAAGGCGTTCTCTGTGGTGCCGGGAACACACCGGAATTGGAGAGACAATGAATGGGGACGAGTACTCTTTACAGATGAGAGCAGATTCAGTCTGAGTAGCGATTCTCATCGCATACTCATCTGGAGAGAGCGGGGAAGCCGCAATCATCCCTCGAACATCATTGAAAGGGACAGGTACGGAGGTGGCAGTGTTCTCGTTTGGGGAGGCATCATGCTTGGTAGTCGTATAGACCTTCACATCTTCGACGCAGGTTCAGTCAACAGGACCCATTATTGTAACAAGATTCTTCTTCCATATGTGTGTCTTTTTAGAGGTGCTATGGGTCCGCAGTTCCATTTCTTGGATGACAATGCACCATGTCATCGCACAGTAGCTGCCGAACAGCTTTTAGAGAGTGAGGATATTGACATATGGATTGGCCGGCACGATCTCCGGATCTCAATCCCATCGAGCATTTATGGGATTTTCTGGGCAGACGCTTGGCAGCTCGTACCTTACCACCAGTAACGATTCCAGAGCTTCGAGTGGCGCTGCAAGACGAATGGGCAGCAATGCCTCAACAACTCATTGACACCCTCATTCTCAGCATGGGCAGACACTGTGAAACCTGCCTAGCAGTCAGGCGAGATCATATGCCCTATTAAAGACCGGATGTTTCTTGCTGGACACCCATCACAGGGATGTTTCAGCCTTCAGTCGCATTGCGCTCCATGCTACTTTTCCAATAAAGCTTCTTTTTATCCCTCTGATTTCTCTTTTAGTAAGTGTTGCTTACATTACTTATGTCCTTATGTATTGGGGATCTTACGATATTAAATGTGTTGTTTTGGAAAGCTTTTGTACAAAGTTATATTGAAAAAACCGTCTCGTCCTTAATTTTTGTTCACCAGTGTACTTTTAATACTTTCAGTCTGGCATCAAGATTTTTTTAAAAAATCAAGTTTTTTTCAATATAGGAAAAAAAAAAAGTAATAAGCTAATTTAAATTGTTTTTCACAGAATCAAGTAGGAAGATAAAATATTATTATATTTTCTTAGAGATTATTTTGCGTTTTTCAAGTTACGAAAATCTCACCTAAGTGCATGTATTTTCAAATCAGATTTATTTAATGCCTAATTTACTAAGTTGTCTTAATTTACTAAACAATCGCACTTTCGAACATATAAAATATACATTAATACATACATAAAAATGAAATAAAATTTGAAAATAACGCAATTTAGGAATTAGTGTATTAAAAATAATTAAAAAAATTTGTTGTGATATCACTTTTTACGTTATATGCATTTATTTTTATTTTTGTAATATGCGTTTAAATTTATTTTATTTCGGTATATGCATTTATTATCCTTTGTTGTCAAATTTTGTCCGATTATTTGACTATGGCAAAGCAAATGAGATCTGTCTGTCTAAGGATAGACAAGTCGTCGTGGTAGGCTTTCTAAGTAAAACTCACTCATATCCATGGGAAAACTATGAAACCTGACCATTTGTTCGTTTTGGTTTCAGTGCGAGTGGAATTAGTAGTAATCAGCGGTCTTAGCTAGGTGGGCTCTGATAGAATTTAAAAACCTGATAAATCGTATTTAATGAACATAATATCAGTAAACCAACCAGATTTATAAAACAAAAATAAAATGCTTGTATCGGACATAACTAAATCTCAATATAGCACATAA